AGAAGGGGCAGGTACCAATTTCTTCACTCTCATGGGTAGGACTTGAGAAAACCACCTGAAGCTGAGTCAGGAGAGGTTCAGATTGGATATTAGAAAAAGGTTCTTCACCCAGGGGGTGGCTGGGCACTGGACCAGGCTCCCCAGGGAAGTGGTCACTGCACCAGCCTGACAGGGTTCAAGAAGCTGCACTCAGGCACATGGTGTGGCTCTTGGCATTTCCTGTGTATAGCCAGGAGTTGGACTCAATGGTTCTGATGGGTCTTATGGGTAGCATATAGTGAATCCAGCAAAGAAATAATCTGAAAAGAGAAACCTATGCAAACAAAACACAAGGATGACTGTGCAGGAGTTCGGTGTGGGCAGCTCACTACTTCCTGATGCCTGCCACGGATTTTGGTCACACAGAGAGGTCCTGAGACCTGTTTCCTTGGGCAGGAAGGGAAAGGACATCATGTGGTGCAGGTCAGCAGGGCAGGAGAAGGGTTTTTCCAAGCTGTGGATGGCCTCTCACTGTTCAGAGCTGTCCCACAAAACCTGGAGAAGCCCTCCAGAAGAGCACTGTGCCTGGCTTGTCCCAGGGCACCATGACCTAGAAAATTCTCTTGGGCAGGTCAGCAGGTGCAGGTGCTTAAAAGTCCAAGGGCAGAGTTTTGCCAAAGTTCACTCCTTTATGGCACACAAAGTTCTGCCACCACGTCCGGGTGGCTCCGCTGCACCCAAGTGCAAGGTCTGGGCTGTCCTAGCTCCAGGTGGAGCATGAAAAACACTTATTTTTCAAAATCTGCTATAAAACAAGCTCCCAAATGCATCTCTGGGTCTGTCAAATGGCACCGTCAGTGCTCAGAGTCGCAGTCATGCAGCGACTCGAGGGGATCCAACATTTGTACCCAAACTAATGACACAGATTATCTGGAAACATAAATAGCAGAAGATACAGAGTGTTGTTACTCCTCAATAAAAGGTGCACATGATTTGATTCTAATTATATTTAGTCCAAGTTGCTTCCTAACGACTAGCATTTGAAAGAGATGTCAACAATTTTCACTTTCTTTAAATGAAGGGTGATAGGCTTTTATAGCAGAGTATAAAGATATCAACTGGGAAATCTGTGGCCATCAATGGCTTTAGTTTTCTCCCTTTATCTATTGGTATAGCCCTAATTTGACACTTACCTGTTGAGGAAGCTTGTAAAGCAGCTGCCGACCCTGTTAAATTTAGATTAGTCTTACAGCTCACTTAAAGCCAGTAAAGTGATAATTAAATCCACTCTTGAGCTGTAAACTCCAGAGTGCCTGGAATTAACTCTATTCCTGCCATTGGCAATGTGGCTTCATTAGAATTGATACTGTCCCTTGCTGCATCCCTGGATGTGAGAGGATGAGATAACTTTGTCCCAGAGAAGCTAGATGGGAGGAGCAGTTCAATTTCCAGTGAAACTCCCTAAATTTAGAAGCCTAACCTCTAGGCTCCCCGTAGGGGCAGTGCTGTGGTCAGGGGAGCAGGAGACCCAAGACTACCTGGCTAATCCTAGGAATCTCTGGCGGAGCACAGTGGGCTGCACTGACAAGATCTCTGGTGATCTTTCGTGTGCTACATGCTCACTGTGCAAATGAGTGTCTTGACCTTGGGCCGAATTCTTTTATACAAAAGAAGGGTAAAATTCACACAAGTGACAGTCAACATAAAAGCTTCTGGAGCCTGGTGCTTGTACTGAATGCTTTGCAAAGCAGCAGTCCCTGATGTGAGGCAGCAAGAGAGAGATGCGCTGTTTAGACAAGGGCCATGACACATGCAGTGTTATTTCTGGAAGGCTGTTTAGTCACTGCAGTTCAGGGTGGCACAGAAGAAGTGCAAGCGTTATCAAAGGAAACGCAGGGCAGGGAAGG